TATTATAATAATGCGCTTAGCCTCTTGGATTAATTTATATAATTTCTCTATTGACTGCTTAGCCAAATGACTCTGTGCTTGAGCAATTATAGACACTATTTCATCAAGCCATAAGTCATATTGTATTGGAGAATATTTACATTTTTTACTACATCTACAATTTTAGTAATACAGTATAAATTCTCTATCTGGCATACTACCCTCTTGTGATCGGATAGATTTATATTACCATCGATATCATAATATAACTTAAGATTAAGTTTGATAGTAACAGCATTCGAATAGGAGTGGCGTGTAGATACTACTAGCAAATTTACATCATCAGATATGGTAAGATTTTCAAGAACATATGTTTTCCCTATTTCCCAAGGAGACCCTACATAAATATCCCCTTCGTCAGGTAGTGGCTTTACATATCTCTCTTCATATATTTCTGTCGCTGTAAGAGCTTCATTATACTTAACCCAGAATGGCAATTTTACAAAAGCTCTTAGGAAACCTGAGCCTTTTATTTTGCAAATACTAGGCGATGAAGACGATTTTTTATTTTTTTGTCTAATTTTTTTTGCAATAGATGGGTTGTATTCAAAAACTTTCTCAGGTTCATCACTACCTTATCAGAAGCATTTTACAATGAATGTTCTACTGCTAGCATATACACAACTGAATCACTGATGATCTTTATCATGTATATGTTTACATAATGAACATTCTAGTAGAACTTTTCGGTTAAAATAGATAAAATTTTCTGAGTTCTTTTCTTTGATAATGCAATTCTTAAGATAGTTAAAATGCTTTTGCAAAATAAGGTTTACGCATTTTGCAATACATCCTGACCTACAGATATTCTTAGCGAATTATTATTTTTTTCTGTGCTAAGCATTTGAGATCTTACTTTAAATCCTAAGCTAGTAGGTAGTTGAACCTTAGCATGATCAATTTCATTCCATCCATTATCTAGTGAGAATTGAAGAATACACTTTACACGACTTTTTTTTGCTGAACCAATTAAGTGAAGGTTAAAATTTTGATCAGGCAATCCTCTATCAATGTATTTGCTGAATTTTTCACCAGTTATGATATATACTAATTCAGTAAATGCTTTGAGTTTATGATGATTAATAAGAAGAGCCAGTGCGTATAAAATATGGTAGCTACACTTGCTAGGGTCTAATGATATAGTGATTACTAATCCATTGAAAGATAGGCAGATTTGAAAGAATACTTTTTGCGCTTTAACACCAGTTGCCTCTATATCTTCTTGCGAAGCATCTATGTTAATCACAGCTCTTAAATGTTTTTGACTATTAATACATTCATAAATCTCAGGTAAGCCATAAACTTCAGAAATATCGTCGGCAACAGAAAATTTGGGAGCATGATCAGCATCTTGGTCAATTTTTATAACAAATTTATTTTCCACTTCATTTTAGTTATAAGCGTTATATAAACTAGAGCCTTTTTCATTCAGAAAGAGGAATAAATAAATTGGAAGGCAATCTAATGATCCTTTATCATCTGACATATTTCTAGGTGATGATGAAAGGATCCCTGAATGACATTTAGCAAATCTTTAGGGAAAAATTTATCATTGAAGTTTTCTTGCCTCAAAGTACAGTATATGTCAAATTAACCTTTTATTCTTTTACAGCTTTGGTAGTGCTAGTTGAAACGTAAAAAGCTTTTTTATTATCAGACCTATAATTAGACTCATAGTTATCATAATCATCTGATCCACAATCAGAATCATTATTATTATAGTTATCTGAGTCACTCAAGTATTCACTGAAGCCAGCATTATCATAACGGGCAGAAATAGTTAGTGTATGTATGTTATTAGTTTGAAAAGGTTTATATTACTTTATAAAAATCAGAAATATTTAATTAATTTTTTTCGATAGATACAAAAAGATATGTATAGCAAGATGGCAAGAGAATCGCAGATAAATAGATTCTTAATAGGGTGATATTTAGGGTAGTCTTCTGTATAATTATTATATAAAATATTGGCAGAAGACTACCTAACACTAGTATTTGCTCAGGCATATATGATATCTAGAGTATACAAATGCGAAAAAAAGAAGGGATAGCAAATTTAATTAGCAAATCGCAAATAAATATATTCCTAATAGGTGATATTTAGGGTAGTCTTCTTTATAAATATTATATAAAATTATGGAAGAAGACTATTCTAATACTAGTATAAACCTGGGTATGTCATTCAGGGTATCCTTCTCCATATTCTATTAAATAAATATTGGAAGAAAAATACCCTATCACTTGTATATACCCAAGTATAGCATAAAAATTACATCTCGATAGTATATATCCAGGTATGATATAGCCTTCGCGTAAGACTTATCCTTTCTAAATATGTATTTAGATATGATATTTAGGGTAGTCTTCTTCAGAATCTTTATATAAATAATGGAAGAAGACTACCCTATCACTAGTATGTATCTGAGTGTAACATAAAGGCTACATCTCAAAGGTATGTATTCGGGCATATGTGGTATATATGTATTTATAAGTCTAAAGCGGATATCTTCTTTAATATTATATAAAATAATGGAAAAAGACTTATACTTTTCTAAACATGTACTCAGATATGGTATAAATAGGCTGGCTATGATAATACATATTATACCTCCAACTTCAGACGTGAAATTAGCATATATGTAAAAGTGAAGGCTTTTCCGTAATCATTGTATAAAATATTGGGAAAAGCCTTCATCTTTCTAGACATGTACTCAGGTATGATATAAATGAGCTGGCCAAGATAATACATATTGTACCTCCAACCTTAGACACAAAATTGGCATACATATATCAGCAACAAATAGGCATCAGCTTCGATCTTTCAAATTGTATACCTCAAAATTACAGTCAACTCTTGTTATAACGAACTCTATGTCCTAGACCTCAACTTCGCTATAAGGCTATAGTGAAGATTTTAAGAGATTTGATTGGCCAATTCGCTATAACAAGAGTATTTTTATTATATTTGTTTAAAAAATTCGTTATATCAAGAGTTCGCTATATCAAGAGTTGACTGTACTTTATTCTGGTAATCAAATAGGTCAGACATTATCCCTTGAAAGTTACGCAAATTGAATTTTTTTACATGTAGTACTCACATAGATATTACCATACCTGATATTTACTCTATATTCAATTAAGATAAAATATGATAGAAACACTTACGGAATATGAATATACTTTATAAGATGAATAAGATAAACATTATGCTTACTCATTTTGTAACAATGGTCTAACAACATCTCGTAAATTATGAAAAGCATTTTGAATAATGAGTTTTGTCGTTCCCGTCACTGAAATTTTGTATGACAGGCTGTCATTGAAAATAGAGGTAGCAAATTAACTGTGCTATCTGTCATCTTTTTTTTACACCACTTCAGCTCCTAGAAAGGCAACCAAATAGGCGTAAAGGAAATCACTCTAATATAGAATCTAACATCTAATTAAACGCAAGAGATCAGCATCCTTAACATAAAACCAGATATCTAAACAGCTACAGAAAGCTAGTATCAACAATATAGAATTTATTATCTAAACGAATTAGAAACAAGAAGAAAGCAGACATCATTAGATTATAATATCACTATTAAATTAAAGCATTACATCTACTATTAGAATATGAAGACACCACCATATTATACAGGAAACAGTTAAAATAATGTTATAAACGCAAAGGAGATACCCATACATAGGTTATGAAGTTACCATCAGATTGTGATATTAGATTATAAAATTACTACCAGATCATGTAATTAGATTATGAAATTACCAGCAGACTATGAAGTTACCATTATATTATGAAGATATCAGTAGACTATAAAGTTACCATTATATTATGAAGATACCGATAGACTATGAAGTTATTACTATATTATGAAGATACTAGTAGACTATGAAGTTACCATTATATTATGAAGATACTGGTAGACTATGAAGTCACCTTCATAACCTAATCTAAGTCACTGACAACTTCATGATATAATTATATCATGAAGTTGCCGGTGACTTAATTGATTAATCTTAAAATATTTTTAAAATTATAATATTATTTTAAATGTTTTTATATTAATAAATTTTTATATTATATATTTAAAGATAATTTTATTAAAATTTTATTTATTTATAAAATATATAATCTTTATTTTATTAATAAATTCTAATTTATTATTATTATATTATTATTTATTAATTTTATATATATAATAATATCACTTTATCTATTTATTATTTTATCAAATATTTTAATTTTATTTTATTATTTTAATTTTTTTAATTATAATATTTTATTTATTTAATATAAAAAATTAATTTATTATATTTTTTAATATTTTTTTTATAAAATGTAAGTATTTTATTAACTTAAATATTTTGCTAAAATAAAGTTAATTTATAAAAAAAAAAATTTGATTTTAAATATAATTAATTATTGTATTTATATATTTAAAGCAATTAAAAATGAAAAAAATTTAAATATTTTGTTTATTTGAATTATATAAATTTAACTATAAAGACATGATGAATGATTTTACTATAATTAATTCTAGATTCCGAATGGTTAATTATTAATTTACGATTATTAGCAAAATTTTTTAAAAGATTAATTACATCATTTTTATCATTAACTATAGCATAAAATTTCAAATCTTGTAAAGTATTTGGAGCATTTTGAATCAAGTATTGTATATCTTCAAAGGTGAAATTAAAAAGTTGAGAAAAGTGCAATTTTTTAAGATTTCTTGGTAAATGATTTGAAATCTTTTTTATAACTAAATTAGGATTCATGTAATTACCAAAATAAGAATCATGATAATCATAAAATTCATGACCTATCCAATCGAATTTCTCCCAAATTGATACCTCCTCTAATAATTGACAATTTTCCAATATTGATACAAGTTTTTCAAATGTTTCTTCTACCAAAACTATTTCTAATACTTTTAATTGAGAACAATTTAAACAAATGAATGGGATGATCTTTGGATATTTAAAAAAATCTATTAAATTAAGAGTAATTTTTTCTAATTTTGATGGTTGTCCTAACATGGCTAAAAAATATTCCTGTGGTAATTGAGATTTCGAAATATATAAAGATTTTAATGATACGAAATGATTAATGATTTTGGATTTCTCGACGAATGAACAATCTTTAATTATTAAAGAAATTAGATTTGGACAAGATGATAATTCATCTAAAAGGCTCGCTTGATAAAATTTACAATAAGTCAATTCAACCTCTTTCAGAGAATGATATTGTGAAGGGATGGCCAAAGCGATCATTGATGAATATTTACTATAAAACATTTCCAACTTAAGCTTTTGTAAATACCTTTGTGAATTAATTAACGTTACCCATTGAGAAATATTTTGATGGGATTGTGGTTTTTTTATTTCCATTGACGAGATATTTCTTGAAGTTTTACTTAATTCCATGACGATATCACCGAAATCACATCCATTATTATCACAAATAAATGATTGAATCGATGATAATGAATTGAATGGAAGTTTAATATCGTTTAAAGGAAACCATTTACAACTACAATTAATATATAGTGCCGATAAGTTAAAATTGAGAATTTTTGTACCATTCTTGATGAATAAATTACAAAGTTCGTTCAAAATCGGTAACATTTTATTGATCATGAATTGCTTAGATGGATGAAAACTTGGACAAAGTTGATCATCTTGAACTTTTTCGGATGTTGATAAAGTTTTATAAGATCGTTGTTTCTTTAATAAATTTAAAAGGGATTCATATAATGTAAGATAAGCGAGTTCTTGTAAGAAAGATAAATAATTATAAGCAGGATTATCAGAAGTTATGATTTGATTGAAATCAAGTTCGTCCAAAAATTTTTTTGGTAAGAATTGAAGGTAAACTCTAACGATCTTGTAATGAAAAGTTGAATAACAAAAACGAAATGGTTTCTTCCACAAGAATGGTATGGCTGTGTCACACCAACTTTTTGATACTAGAGCGCATTTAAAAATTATTTTTGGATTTTCCTTGTGATAAGAAAGGATTTTTTGTAATAACTCTGGAATAAGTGTTATACTAGTCATTTCACGCGGGAAGGGAAGGGAGAAAGGAGGGAAAAAAAAAAAAAATGATGAGATTTGTAGATTCTTTTTGAACATCATTTATACATTTTTTTTTGTTCTTTGTAACCATTTCATAATATATCCATTTATGAATTTATATTCGAAAAATTTTTTAACTCGTACGTTCAAACATGAATGTATTTAGATTTTCACTTTGTTCTCGTACATTAACTCAGCAATACATTTATGCATGATGATCGCATGATCGTAAATAAAAGCGAAAAAAAGGTAAATTGAAATTGAAATCCATAGAGTTTGAACAAGGCAAGCTTCTCTTGCTAGCTGCGCTTCAATTTCGAACCGAACTGATCGAATACTTTTAATTTAAACAATAACGATGTCAAAAGGTTTACGGAAAGTCATGAAGTCAAAGAAATCGATCACCCTCTTGTAACAATCATTAATGAGACCGATTTGGAAATTATGCGCGTGTATACAATTTTACAAGTTTCAAAACACGAGACGAGAGAAATAAAAATTTATTTAAATAAGTTATGTATGCTAATTAATATATACTAATATACATTGAAAATATGAATGTGTGAGAGTGTATGTGTGAGGTTCCTAATCTCGTTCACTTCTTCCATAACCTTCTTTTGTTTTGATTAACCTCATCTTGAATGGTAACAGTTGAAGCCAAAACATATTCTTGCCAAGATTTTTCGGAATCAAATTTAGATAAATTTCCTAATGAAGTGAAATTACGTTCAGAGTAAAGAGAATTCACGTTAGAAATCTTTCCGCCGTTTCCTACATTTTCATCATTTACACTTAAAGCGGTAGAGATATCAGAAAACGTTGATTCACGAATTGAAACGTTTGAAAGAAGTCCCGAGGTTGTCGAGGATCGAATTGTTGAAGGATTAGAAAATACGGAAGGATATCTTCCCATAAATTGAGCGGGTTTATCAAAATCCTTTGAATCTTGTGAAATCCTCCAACCTGGAGGAGAATTCTTCAAGAATATTATATCAAACTCATGATCAAAATCCGTTTTAAGAAATTCAACCAAGGTTGCATTTGGATCATTCCTGGAAATGAACGCCCATCCAGAACCATCTTTATACCTCACCCATCTATACCTTTGTATACAAGAATTATCACATGGAGTGGCGATGTTACCGGAGTAACCTTTTGGTTCGTTCTTACTGCTATCATATTTGAACACTGAACGTCCCAATTCGGCATTACCAATTGAAAATACTCTTGGTCTTTTAATTCGTTTACTAAACTTGGACTTTTTTAACTTCACTTGATCAATCGTCCACAAATTAGAAGGTTCGGAGGATGAAGAGACCGATTTGAGCGCTTCGGTATACCAATGTAAATTTTGAAACCTTTCATCCGGTCGAAAAACGTTTCGGAAATATGATGGTGTACATTTTGATAACTTTGTTTTATCGGTTATATTATAAAATAATTGGGTGTGAGATTTATGTTTGTCCGTTTTATCTTTGGAGTCATAGGCATGAGGTGAATAATTTTCACCATCGTTATCAAAAGTGTACAATTTGATAAGCTATTAATATTTAAACAGAACATCACATACTTGTTATTGTAAATATTGTAACGAGAAAGAAAACATGGCTAGTTTATTTACTAACCTTGTATGTGACTTTTCCTAGTTCTTTTACATAAGAAGGTGGGATGTCATCTTCAAGAATAGTGGGAGGTAGCGTGATAGGCATTTTACAAAAATTTTTTTTTAAAAAAAAATAAAAAAAAAAAAAAAACGAATTAGAAAATCAAAAACATTCAGTTATATACGTGAAAAAAAAAAAAAAAAAATACGATGGCGGAAAATCACGAGAATCATTATCCTATATCCGTGCACCATTAAGATTGAATTTGAAACTCTCCTTAATATGCACTTTGAGGTTAAATTATTTCTAAATTCGTAACGTATTAAAAGAAATAAAAGATAAAAAAGAAAGAATCAAAATTCTTTATTTTTGATTTGTCACAGCTTCCTCAAAAAAGGAAAATAGTTTCCAAAACAATTCACACTTGTACAAAGACGAAGTTATTAACTGACTTATTTTAGGTTAAATGGCGCTAACCATATGTTGATTTACAAAGATTTTGATGGTAACACTGCTGAGAAATTTATCTTTGTTGGATATATTTCTTTCATTGATCATGACTTTGCATGGCTCGTGTAAATTTTTTTAATCACCATCAAAAGCTCAGAATATCACGAGTTAAAATTGACGACTAACGAAAATTACTACATTTCATAGTCAAGAAAGCATGACGAAATGTTGACCTCTTAAATATAAATATATCAGGTAAGTGAGAGAAACATAAAGTATAGTTCATTAAATCTGGTCTGGTGAAGTCTCTTTAATAATTACAATCACCTGATTAATTTGAACAAGTTTTTTAAGATATTTATTCAAAAGTTAATTGCTTTGTCATTTCAAAAGTGTGCAAAATTTTGGTTATAAATGCAGGTCGGATCGGTCAGATTGACGATCGGAACTGTCAAAAATATTTTTTTACCCCATCGATGGAAAGAATATCATCATTTTAGGCCATTAGTCACAACACGAGGAAAATCTAAAAATTTTTTTTTATTGGTTCATTGAATCTAAAGGAAAAAAAAGATTTGTTTTTGAAGATCAAGCTCATCGTCAAACCGGTTTTTAATTGGATCTTTTTATATTTTGTAAATAAACTTGTACTTATTAAATTTTGAAATAAACAAAACAAAACATTAATAAAAATCAAGATTTTTTTTTTTTTAAAAGCGAAAAGGAAATCGAAAAATAGTCATGTGCAAGAAATCTATGTAAAAAGTGTGCAAGATTTGAACAAACCAACGCTTTTCTTGTTTTAATAAAAAAACCATGAGGTATTTAATGCATTTTATTTATTAACAAATGACAAGGTATTATATTATATTAAACTTAAAAGACGAAATTTTATACAACACATTTGATGTGGGCTAGTGATAAAATATTTATAAATAAATAATTAACTATCCGGAAAAAGTTCAATATTGTTTTCCCACGATATTTATATAACCAATAAAGGGTTCGGCAAAAGGATGCAACGACGTATCTGAAATTAATCATCTCTTATATAATATAAATAATAATATTAATGTAATTAATTGTTTACTTTTTGGAAACATTATTTTTTTTTAAAAAAAAAATTCCGAAAACTTGATTTTTGCTTTATCAGTCTTACCAAAGATAATCTAATTTTAGAAGATATTTTTTATTTATGGATCTCCTATCTAAATTCTAATTTGATTTTAATGTGGGACAAATATTCTTCAATTCCTAAATATTGTTATCCAAGGAAAGGAAACACACTTCCTGAAACAAGTCCTTTTTTATCAAGGAGAATACTTGACTAATTTTTTTTGACGATTTTTTATTTTTATTTAATAAAGTGTAAATATTTATCGTTGGAAGTATTGTTATTTTACGCCATTATATGCTTGGTGACGTAGTTGCGTAGTTGTTATTGCGTATCGCAAAAGATTCTCCATGAACAACATAAACCAAAAAACTTAAAAAACTACGTTTTCACGAGAAAATCAATCTTTTTTAACCTATCAAAGATATGCACTAAAATAAGTTGAGAAAACACGACAAATGAATTCGATAGTGTTTCTCGCTTTAACCACTTTCAGAATCGGCATTATGTTACACTTTTTTTTACAACTGAACCTGATCAAAAATGGCTAACAGGAATTCATTTATTTATGACAATCAAGTGACGATTATCAGCCGATATTTTGTTCTTGTGTAAAGTTTTATTTGGGCCCTTAAATTAACTACTTTTTACGTTAGCATGTGACATTATTTTCATTGAAGTCACTATTTTTAACACGTAAAACCTAAACTAAAAAAAATTTAAAAAAAAGTGGGTAAAAATTTTGAAGGCATTCTCACCCATTAAAGTTAATTCAACCGACATCTTTATGTGGCGTTATCCAACCTTGATTTGGCATTTCATCCCAAAAAAAAAAAAGAATTTTCACGCATATCATGCAAACTTTTTTTTTTTAAATAAAAGCAACGCACATCAATCTAGCAGCCAATGATGCGTCACCACCACTCAAGTTTTATATTTCTCTCTCATTATGAAATGCAACTTTGAATTCGATCGAATGCATCCTTTTTTTTTTCTCATGCAATTGCGTCACATAGTTGCTCCACTGATCTTATGATTTTTGGTTTCATCATTTAAAACAATTAACGATATAAATCTGCTGCCTGCTGTTCATGCTGGGAAAAAAATTAAAAATCGAATAAAAATTTTTTTTTGAAAAACTGCCCCACGAAACAATCACGCGTTTCAAAAAAAAAAAATTGCCGTTGTTTATCAAAGGCAGTCACTGATCTAATCATAAAATTTAAAAACCAGTTTTCTCAAGCAAAGTAGATAGTGTGTAGGGTGCCATTTCATGAAATTTTATGCGTCCCCAAGCAATCCGACTTTCTTAATTAAGAGAAAATCGCTCTTAATTTAACCAAAAAATCATTTGATCGAGAAACACCTGTTCCTGCCGGAACACGAAACCTGCCTTCTGTAATAAATAATGAAGGCATATGCAATACCCATGCATATTCATGTGTATGCGTTTTGAAGCGTTTATTTAAACGAAATCGAAAAATGAATGTGGATCTAGCGACGGGAGTCTTGCTGCGGACCTTTTGGGATTTTTTTTTTCAAGATTGAGATCTTGAAATAATTTTTCGGTTTATCTTTATTTTATTGCATTATCATTTATCAGCACCTAAATCCTCTCCCCTATAAAGTTAATAATCACATCGGAAGCGACCAATGAGAATGTGCGCCGCTTTTGTACGACATTTTTCACTTCTTAAAATAATTTCGTGCATCTTGCATCCTTTCAATAAGATCAATTCGCGTGATATACATTATCAACCAATTCAAAGGAGCACCAGTTGAAAATCGAAAAAAAAAAGGGCGAACCCTAACTGCTTGACCTGCAAAAAAGGATTCTCTCGCGGTTTCTCCTGAATGAACAACCCTTTTTTTCTATAATTCAAATTGGGTGCATCCTTTTGCTTATTTATTTATTTTATTTTTATTATTATACTATAATTATTGTTACATTCTTCTTTAAAACAAAATAAAAAGGGGAATTCGTTCTATTCTTCTACGATTCGATGCATTATCATTGGTATCATTTTTCAATGAGATTCTTGAATATAAAAGAGCGACCAAAGATGGTAGCGAATGACCTCGAAAAAAAAAAAACTGGTTTATTAAAAAATCAAAAATCAAAATGAAGTAATCTTTAAAGGACACAGCCGAGTGGGGATCGATATATATTAAAAATATCGTAAAGATTAACCATTCCTAGTATTAGATTTTATAATTTTTAATTTGATAAAGTTATTAAGTTGTATATTTTCGGAATCTTTTTCAATCACAAAAAAAAAAAAAATTTCTGTTGAAAAAATTTCATAGAATCGGTAAACACCCGAATTTGTTTGTAACTAGCCTACATATATTTGGGGTAGCACATCACTATTTTCTGTTTCATTGACTTTGTGATTAATCACAATTTATATTGGTATTATAAATAACTGAAGGTATAAAATCCCTTGACCGGAATCTCCAACATTCCCCCAAAAAAAATAATTTTTTTTTTTTTTCTCAAAAAATAATAAAAAAAAAAATAATTATAATAATTATTTTATTTTATTCATCTCCTTTTATTGTTTAACGATTCTTTAAGAAAAATGGCACCAAAAGTTGTTTCACCCTTTGAAGAATTTATTCCTTGGGCGATAAGACCGTTAGCAAAGAGATTATTACGTTCAAGCAAAAAAACCAAAGCGACGACAAATACTACGACAAGAGAAAGTTTCTTATCAAACCCATTTCTCAAATTCTTTTCTCCTTCAACAACAACGAAGGATAATTCTTCCTTTAACCTCAATGTTACAAAGGAATTTTATAAATTTTCCAAACTTGAAGACATCTCCGTCGAATACCTTTTGTTAATTTGCAAAGATTTTACCCCTTATGAACTAATTTCTCTCGCTGGTACTTGCAAGCGGTTGAGAGAATTACTCATGTCTGACGACGCTTCTGTACAATCGATATGGCGAAACTCAAGACTCCAACACATGCGTTACCTTCAATTACCGCCTCCATATCTCCTTACTGAACAAGAATATATCGGATTAACAATGATGGAACGAGGTTGTCAATTTTGTGGAAAAAGAAAAAATTGGGTCCGCGTATACTGGCGATATCAAGTGCGCTCATGTTATGAATGTTATAAACCAAGATTCGTAAGGTAAATTATCTCGAGAAGTTGATTCTCCCCCCTTTTTTTTTTTTAAAAAAAAAGCTAAATTTTTTTTCCCTTATTCTTTTTTTTTAAAAACAAACTAAAGTGGTAAGGCTCCGCAAAACAAAAATAGTACTCCCGAAACTACTACATATTTGGCCGACTTAAAGAATCGGGAGGCCGCCGATCGAAAACAACTTCGAGTAACGATTTCGCAAAGAAAGAAAAGATTGACCGATATTTTACACGAATTGGAATCCGAAACAATCGAAGAAGAAGGTTGTGAAAACCTTCGTTTGTTCAAATACGATCCAAAACTTTTGAGGCAATGTCCTTCATACAACGCGGAATGGCGTTTATACGATCAACCATTTACGAATGGAGACGAATCAAAATTGAGAAAATTAATGGAAAATGAATACAGGGTCTTGGTCGAAAAATTGTATTATCAATCACAGGAATCACAGGAATTACAAGAATCACAATAATTTATTTTTAAAAAAAAAAAAAAAAAAATTTTATTATTACGCGTTGAAATTTTTTTCTAATAATCATTAATTATTCCTTTCGATATTATAGTTAATTAATAATTTTTATGGCATTTCGAAAATGCATGTAAATTTTTTTTAAAAAAAAAGGAAAAACAAAAAAACCTGTAAAACCCCCAAAACCCCCAAAAAAAAATTCACCCTGTACAATACAATCATAAAAGAATAAATAAACCATTTTTTTATCATTTAACTTAACGAATTTTATAATGGTCAGGAACGGGTCCCATGAAATTCATTATTCACCACGTGTGCTTTTTTTGCCACAAAAATGACCTTGAGAAATCACTTTGAAACATTTCATGGCAAAAAGGGTTAACTTTAATCGTTTCACACGGCTTTCTTAAATGATATCATTGTCCTATAAATGTAGAAGTATCTGCGTCATTTATTTATCTATTTCCTATATCATGAAATCCTTATCAATGAGCGTGATTTTGATCATTAATAATCGTAAAAAATTAACATTGTTCCAAGATTAATTTTAATTGGGCGCATAAAATTAGGTTTTAACCATTTATACATTTTTTTTTATAAATCCAAAAAGTGTGAACAAAGAAATTCCTATAATGTGGGGAACACAAATTTACCCTTCATGTAAACAAACATGTTAAATATACTTTATATATCAGATATTTCTTGTTCGTTTTTTAATCAGTAAGATTTGCACTTGTTATTTTTATTCAATTGTTTGTAAGAAATATGAACCCCAAATTTAGATTCGGTTTTCCACGTGATATTTCATATTTCGTAAGTTCCTTAAGCTATTACCGTTTTCGAAACCGACATTGAATACTGTTGTTTATTTTATTTTATTTTTTTTTTCTTATTTCTAAATATGATTACTTTAATTAATGTCCAACTATTCCATATATATATTATTATTATTGATTAAAAAGGTGTTTGTATTTCATTCTCAGGGTTCTGCTCCATCACTCTAACTTTTGTTATGCCAACGATTAAAGGATTGGCAGGGCACCCCTTTTCAGGGGCATAATGTACAATGTAATCACCCAGAATGTATCTATCAGGAAACGTATTTATCGTATGATCATCCCCATCTAAAAACAACACCTAAAGGGGGGGGGGGGAAAAAAAAAAAGGAAATTAGGGTTTAAACCTCAACAAAAGGCAAAAGGAACCTCTAAAAAGGTACTCACATTTGGTTCCCATCTTGGGTGTTTAATTGCGTCACGCATGGCCTGTTGCTCTTTCATACCCCGATATGCACGATCCCTCCTAGCTTGTATACCATCCCTGATGAAATCCACCGCCCATTCGGTATTTCTAATCAAGAAAACACCGGCATTAATCATGTCATCCCCAATGGGTCTAGCCACAATGAAATTGATGTTTTCAAATGCTTCTTTTCCACCAACCCTTTCCGTACACATCTCCAACAAATTTTCAACCGATAAAGTCCTATTGGTAAAAATAGCGTCCATGTCTAACCAAATTAACCATTCATAATAAGGTAAAATTTTCTCAACGGCGTCGATCTTACCCCAAACTTCCTCCCTCTTTCGATAGTTTTGTTGAGCGTATTCGCTAGAACGAGGCACGAACGCATACCCATGCTTTTCGGCGTATTCCCGTTTATTCTGCGCGGAAAGAGAGGCGGCCTCCGACATACAATTATCATGATATAAAAAGCTACTTGTCGCCACGACGATTTTGGGCCTTAAATTACTCGTAGTCCCCCTTGAATACCTTTTAAGGTCAGATCGTACCTTACAAGGATTTATTGTTAAAATGTTCAGCTCTTTTTTAATCTTCCGAAATTCCCAATCTTGATAGATATTGCCTATGGCTATTGCACAATCTATGCAAGGTATGCTATTGATCGAATTTGGCCATTCTATTATACCCATTTGATCATTAGCCAAAATCAAATCATTGGGAATTTTTTCCGTTTGTTGATCGTAGTGATAATGATAAAATCTGGTGATAACGCTGGTATCATTCGTCGATACATATTCTTCCGAATTATCCAAGATCGTTTGAACAGCTGAAGATCCTATTATTACAGCCATTCTATCCGTTATGTTGGAATTGAACGAACCCCATACAATCTTTTGTGTATTTGAGATCGTTTGGTCGGCTATTTTTGATGAGGAGATTTTCTTTTGAAGTCTCTCAAGATTTATCATAGTGTAAACTTCGGTCAACACTAAATGATTGAATGACATGCACGTTTTTTTTAACAATTGTGCCTTTTTCAAAAAAATAAATTTTACGGTTAATGGTTTGGCAAATCAGGAAAAAATAAAAAAAAAAAAAACCATAATAATTTCAAAACTTACGTATTTAAGTGCAGATAGTTGCCAATCACCATTCAAAACTTCAATTTCCCCAATATCATTATATTCCATTTGTTCTGATTTATATTTTCTCAGGACAATTTCATTAATGTATTCATCTTTCTTCTTTTTTATCAGGAATCGGTAAAATATTGCATCATCTTGTTTCATGCAAGGGACCAGATTATCGGTAATACCGAACAATCCTTCTCTCATTAACGCACGTTTATCGATATTTTCCACCTCCGAATAGATAAGTAACATGATTTTATAATGTGGGCATTTCATATCCTGTACATTATTATTACCAGAAAGTTCCCCATAATCGTTTGTGAAATTCGATAACGTGAAAAACGTTATTACGATGACCAAGAACAATATAAGAAATAAGCGTAAATTACGCATCTGCTTCTTCGTATAATTTGACAGGTTTGGTTGTTTTTCGATTCCCATCTGATAAAAATGGGGAAGTTAGGAGAAAACAAAAAGAGGGGTATCATTTACGAAGTATTTATAATGAACCGATATGCAAAACCATTATTACAATGATGTGTAACACAAATCGTTTAATCCGGAATTGACCGCGTATAGCGTACAATGTATAGCGATAGTACGTCCTGACGGGATTTGTATTTACACGAAATACCCGAATTTGTCTTCGGAATTCCGGAAATTATTTTTATATATAAAAAGCAAAATAAATTCTTTTTTAAAGTTCCTTTTGGTTAAATAAATGTCACATTATGCAGTAAAGAATTCTTATTGAAAATAACCCCCTTTTATATTTTAATGCTTATCTAATCTATCTATAGTCAAAACGATAAAAAAAAAAAAAAAAATAAACAATCGTTTCATTCGAACGAACGCTTTTTAATCAAGATTGACGAATCTTTAGATCCTCATTAAGAAAATCCTTTAATTATCATTACCAAAACGTGTATTTAATATTCTATTAGACAGTAAAAATCAATTATTTGAATTCAAAATCCGCACAAATTTTTAAAATTTTGCGGTCAAATAAAATATTTCCGCTTAATTTTTTTCAATTTTTTCTTTTTTTTCATCACATGAGCAAGAAAGAAAATTTTCAAAAAAAAAAAAATACCGTTAAAGCTGAATTATTATTATTTTTTTTTTTTTTACTTTAAAAAACAATTTTCTTTTTATTATAGAATAATTCATGAATCAAATCGTTTCATTATGTTTGGCTGTCTCTTTGCATTAAAAGACAACTTACGTTGTGAAATTGAGCAGCAGACAATACTCGTTCGAGTTTTCTTGTGATATACATGAACTTTTAATAGAAAACTATTGTCATTTGATATCATTTTTAAATGGATATTTTAATAAAAAGATCAAGATTTAAATTATTATATTGTTTAATATAACAATATTTTTTACAATTGTAATAAAAAAATTAAAAATCCTTTTTTCATTTAGGGAAAAAAAAAAAAAGAGTATAAGTAAATATATACTGCATTTATATAGTTATATATTGATTAATTATTTAACATTACCTCAAATCTTTCTGGCATAAGAACCGGTCCAATAAGTGTCCACGAATATAATAATAAACAAATCCAACCGGAAACAATTTTTACCCATACAGCGACATAAGATTGCCCAATGATAACGAGTTCATCGGATCCAGTAGTCGTTACGTGATTCCTAAAGTAAAAATTATCAGAAAGAGGATTATAATCATAAACAATTGCCTAATAGATTTGATATCCTTACCAATTCGTTAAAAGCATCCCGACATACATGGAAGCAATTGCAAATATGAGGTGAAAGAAACTGTAACTATAAGCAACTCCATTCTTTTCATCATCAAGACCATTTTCATCGTCATCATCCACAGCTGAAGCTGGCATTATGCTAAAATAAATCAAGTTATTTAATAATACTTTATACGATCCTTTCAAATTATTTTAGGAGATCACTTACCCGCTCTCGACAGCGTCATAATTTGTTTGTGATTGGAAACCGTTAGGCAAGTTAGTCATTAATAAATGATATTTTTCAATTAAATTATGTAATCGATGTCTTACTTTGAGTTGCAGCCCTTGAGGTTGAATATGCAATCGCCAAGAATGTAAATAAAGCTCCGATAACGATAGTAGCCGTACGCGTGTTACGACTTCTTATCCATGGATTGCACATATTATCGTCAGGTTCATTAGCAACTGAGCTTAAAATAATATACGTACAATAAATAACCACCATGGAAGCTTGTGATAATCCCGAGTGAGAATTAGCTTCTTGTACAGCAGGAGCAATACTCAAGAATGTCACAATTATACACAATATAAGGTTGAAAGTGATAAAAAACTGGTTCAGGCCACATCCAGATCCACCAAAAAAGCCATACATGATTCCTGTAAGCACAATTGAAGCCAAGAACATGGTAATTGTAGACCAGATAAGAATATATTTCCATTTGTCACTATCAGTCTCCTCCCATCTCATTATACAAGTTTCACTCCATGTGTGAGCAAAATCAACTAAAAGGACTAAACCAACTAGAATAAATAAAGTTGCCCCGATCAAGGCAATATAATTGCTCCAGAATATGAAGAATTGATTTGGAATGAAAAATGATGCTATTATAAGAATAATCCACAACAATACTTTGGGTCCCCACCATCTATACGAAATTGAAGGATTATTTTAAAAAAAAGAAAAGAAAATGTAATTAAATGCATAATTAAAATACCCATTCTGGATCGCAGCTCTACTATCACGTGTATCCTTTACTCCAATTACCAAAAGTCCCAAAATAAGATGAAGAAATGATAATGCAAAGCAAATACGGTGGACCTATTATTCAAAATATTGATTTAGCATAAATCGATCAATAATAATCGGATTCAATTTATAATCATTAAACTTACGGCAAAGACTCCATAACAGGTTCCCTCTTGACAATTCAATTGTAAATAATCATACGTTATCTTCTCTAACTGCTTTATGGCCCAATCTGATAACATAATCCATGCAAGCTTTTCAAAATAAATAATTTGTTTATTAGCTCATGAAAATCCGAAATTGTAACAATGATTACAATCCTTACCATAGAATTCAATAGTAATATAATCTAAAAGTAAAAATAAGAGACGTTAGTATAGGCTAAGGCAGGAAAAATAATTTTTTTTTATCATTTTAAATCATATACCCACTGCAAACCCTATCCTGGTTGCTATTGAATTATTACAATTACATGATTTACAAGCTAGGTTACACGCTGCAGCAGAAAAGCAAGAAGCAACTGCCGAGACAACCCACGAAGCTACCCCAGCACCGAGACAACTAAAGCCAAGTCCCATATTGATAATAAATGAGAAAACGTTTATCTATTTCCACAATTGTTTGATAATTATTTTATATGTAACATGACACTGATGATCAGATAAAAATCCGGTGGGATATTCCAAAATTCAAACCAATTCAGAAATATGGACTATTCTAACTTTGCTGATCCACTCGCTTTGATTCTTCAAGATTATGAAGACTCTGACGAAAAAAATGTAGAATCTAAAAGTAATTTATCGAGCTCATGATTTCTGATTATCATTAACTTAAATTTTTCAGTTGATTAATATGAATCTGTTATTGTAAGGTTCTTCAGATCAAATACTTTCGGGAATATCAACTGCCGCTTTATCAGATTCTTTGAAAAAGACAACTTCAAAACTTCAACTTCAAAAACAAACCAAATCAACTAAATGTCAAAATTGTGACAACGTTTGGAAGTACAAGTGTCCAAGATGTAATTTTCACTCGTGTTCATTGGATTGTTGTAAAATACATAAAGAAAAATATTCTTGTAATGGTATAAGGTCAAAAGTTGAATTTGTCCCGATTGAACAATATGGATATAAAAATTTAATGAGTGGTATGTATTAAGTATTTTATTCTTGATTATCGAATTATCTAATGATCACATTTTGGTTTTAGATTATGTTTTTCTCGAAGATGTATCCCGTACAATTGACTCTGCTCATCGTTATATAATTGATAACAAACGAACGCGAAAGAGAAATTACAATAAATATTCCCATACTCTAAAAAGGAAAAAATTTAATAAAAGGCAACAAGAGTGATAAAAAGCAATGTTTATATTGTTAATTCAGCTTTGTAAATTAATAATAGATTAATTATTATTAGTTAGTTAATTATTACATTGTATCTTTTTACGATATAACCTTAAATAGCCTATTAAAAAAATATATAAATCTATCCATCAAAAAAAAAAAAAAAAAAAATGAATGAATGAATGAATGAAAGTGTAAAAAAAGTTAGATAAATTAACTAATATAGCTCTCTACTCGAGTTTTTGTAGTTCAATCTTTTCTTCATATCCTAAATCATTAATTCGCCCCGTTCTTTCCTTATAAGGTGATGTTGTATTAAATTTAGTTTGATAAGATCGGTAATCTCTTGCAACAAGTTTAGGCCAATCTACAAATTCTCCGCCATTCTCCAAAATAAATTGAAGTAGGAACACTACCACTACTAAATCAATAAGCATCAAGAACCGAAAATAATTTACATATCCTAAAAAAAATAAAAAAGGTTCGTTAAGATGGTTTTCAATGTAAATATAAAAACCGAACCTAATCATTACCTTCAAACGATGGAAGAATAAATAAGAATATTAAGAATGCCAAACATGCAAGCAAAATTTGAGGAGCCTATTTAATAAAATTTAGAACGTTAACATAAAAAGTTCTTAGAAATTTCACGATATTGCACGTTACAAATCATACCAATTTAATTTGCATTGTTCGAGTATCAATCCAAGGGGATGTGGCCCCATATTTTACCACATAATTACCCAATAGTAAATCATATGCATCCTACAGTTCATTAAATACAAGACGATTAAAAAAAAAGTTGGTTAGAATTCAAATATAGATTTTTATTTTATTTAAAAAAACATTGTTACCTGTCGTGCACCATCCATGAAATTATTCTTTACATAACGGGCTAAACCGCTTTGTAGATCTGTAAGAAATCCTTGTTTGGTTCTCTGACCGGTCCTAAATTAACATATAGTATTAGCATTGCCAATAAATGGCATAAATGGGAACTTCTAATTATTAAATTAAATGATGTACCGAGTGAAATCCGTCTTTTGAGCACCAGTACCAGAATAAGGAATACTAACAGCGTTAGCGTTATCAGCCCACACTGATCAATCAAAAATAAAGATAAATAAACTAGTTACGTCTGTAATAGATAAATTCTGTTCAATATCAATAAATAATCTTAAATACCATTTCTATAGATATCCATGAAACTTTCGATTTCATCAATTTTTTCTTTGTTGCTTAACACACCAACTTCGCGCAATTGCTGTGTCAGCATCCATTTCGCAAAGGTGGACTGAACAACATTAGTTCTATCAAGACAATCCATGCAATTTGTACGAATAACAGATGTCTGAAATTTGATAGGTGAATCTTCGGCATAGAAATATCTAAGAAAAATCAATATTAGAATCGTTGATAAATTAAAAAAAATTTCGAAAATTTTCTTGCTTACCCTTGCTGAATTAACTCTTCTTCAATAGCATCAAGCAAAATCTGAATTCTATGCCATCGCATTTTGCTACACTCATGATGAAAATCAAAGTGATAGTATAGTATTCTGGAATCATTTAATTGTTTCACAGCCTTCTCGTACGCGTCTCCCACAGCAGATTCGTAACCCTTTTTATTAACAAGATTAACCAAGATTTGATTTCCATAGATTTTGATTTGTTCATCAAAATGTCGACGAAAAGCTTCAAGCTAAGAGAATAACATATAAGTTAGCAAATAATTTAATTTATATATTAACAAAATTAGAGTATATTATTTTACCGTATTAGGTAAATCCATTATTTGCAATTTTGGTGTGTATTTGATATTATTAACCTGAGCCCAATAAATAGGAACAGAACCACGAGTTTGAACGTAAGATAATTTAATTTTGCCTTCAAAAGAAGTGGGTGCTTTACCATCCTCAATGGGATCCAATAGAATAATTTGTTCAGTCTCGTTGTAATTAGAAACATTTCCTTCTGCATCAATACCACGCGAAAAAAATCGCGTTCCTAAATGAAAACATTGGATTTAATATTTTAAAACTTTGACAAATTCACTTTTTTGTTTAAAATTTTTTTTTAAAAAAAAAAAAAAAAAAAATGGTACGTGCCAGCACGGTACCTGCTCCGACGTGAAATTAGAGAAAATACAACGTCCCTGCTTTTAATTTTTATAGGAACGATAGAAACGACTAATTTCAAAAAAAAAAAAAAAATGGTTATTTCAAATAAATATTGATGTTTTCAAAATGTGATTTTTTAATATACATACATCCAGATACAACCGGAAGGATAAAGTCACTTAGCTAATTATTGAAATAATTATTTAGTTGTTAATTAAGCGTACTATTAAATCAATCACGTTTAAGCTTACATCTTGATCGGGATTGTTAGTGGTAATATCAATAAGTTTTGCCTGTAAGTAACGATTCCAAAAGAATCTTTCATCGGCCTGTTATAATTTACAAATAAAATTCTCGTTATATAGAATATTTGGACCGTTCTTTTCAAATAAACCAAATTTGCCATACCCTTTGCCATAAAGGTTTAGTTGCCAAGTCACCCAATTGTGCCTGCCTTTGTAAGGTGTGGGTAAGATTATAGGTATAAGAAAAATAGTATGTTCCAGATCTGAGATGACTTTCCACAAGCGACAGATAACGTTGTTCATCCTGAGCCTAATTAAAGGATATTTTTAGAATTCATAATAATTTGGCAATGAGTTGATTCGATTACGGATCTACCGTTAACCATACCTGCGCTTCAGATAATCGGTTATTATTTTTCGCAAATGGAAGAATTCTAAATTGATTCGCATGGAAAATATCATGTTTGCCCAACCTTCCAATACGTTCACGTCCAGTAATGACTATAAGATATTCGCCTATTTATCAAATTCACGGTAATTTATAATCGTAAATAATTAAGTTATAAATCTAAAACGATGGATCAGATTTAAATGTTCTGTCTTGACCAACTTACCTGCTAATAAATTGATAATACCCAAAACTCCATATATTGTTAGAGCTTCTGCGTGTGCGGATGGGTCGGGTACTTTGTAATGAACGATATATAAGTATATTTACTAAAAGAAAGAAAACCGTGCATATGAATCTATCACGTCTTTTTAGAAAACTTACTAGCACCGTCCAGTAAGCATTCACCAGACTCTCTATTAATGACTAAAGTCTGAGCTGCTATAGTTGGATCAAGGTAATAGGGCACTAGAGTATAAGAATCGTTGGTTGCGTATCTGTGATAGAATAAAAGGTGATGAAATAAATATATTTTCGCGTATGTGCCCTATAAATTTATTAAAAGTCAAAGGTATATACTCACAATCTCAGAGATTCGTGTACCATTTTGTATATGATTTGTTTTAAGAGAAAAATTAGTTTATTCAAGAGTCGAAGTTTTACGAACGATAGATAATATCCAAAAAAAAAAAAATTTCAATTTTCGTGTAATGCATTTTATTTATATTAGGAATAAAAAAAAGTACCGACTAAATGGAGGACCTGGGTATCGATCCCAGTACCTCTCGCATTCACGCGATAATGCGAAGCGAGCGCTCTACCATCTGAGCTAGACCCCCAAACACTAACTGTGAAACCAAATAATTCTTAATGATTCATTGCCATTTTGATTTGATGTTCAAAAGTAGAAATTACGTCATGTATTCGTTTAAAATTGATTGGGTTGACGACTCAAAAATTCAGGGACACCATTTGATTTTATTGAATTTATGATGAATGGTGCGATTCATAGTTACAAAATAAGCAATTGAATGCATTAAAAAATTATGTACTGATATTTGAACAATTAAAACATCTATTGGTACATTATTAAATTTTATTGGCAAATTATTTTTTTAATTCGATAATTCCGTGATTGAGATCAATCGATTTAATCTGATTAGATTAACAAAATTATTGACGTGCAGGTCGAGCAGCTTGTCCACCTCGTTGCTGTTGTTGTTGTCCTCCTTGTTGAGGTTCTTCAGCTGCACCTCCGGTTAGTAATAATATAGCAATTGGTATGAAATACCACCTATAATGCAAAAATAAATTTAATATATTTTCATAGAAATATGATTCAATCAAATTAATCTACTTGCCAGTATTTTTGTATAAAGCTTTTTTCTTCGGGTGGTTTTTCTACTGTGCCATCTTCCCTTATCGAAGGCATTGCTTTGTTAAGTTTAGGACTTGAAATTTTTTTGTTTTTTTTTTTTAAAAAAAAAAAAAAAATTATATATATATCATTATAAGTTCATAAGAATATTTGTTATATTTTATCAATTAGCTTACATAACACCATCTATCGCCTTGATGGTTTGAACAGTTGTTTTGAATTCTCTAGATTGCTAATAAATAAATCCAACTATATTAATAATACTTTACGTACAATAAAAACAAAAAATAAACAGAAAGAACGCAAACTTTAAATTACCGGAACAATGGTTTTATTGCATTGATCGCTACTTGTGTAATAATCAAATTGAAATATTCTGTTATTCTTATCCAAATGAATTATAATCTCATCCTCAAGATTTGAAGATTTTAACAAACACTAAATAAAATTGAATAACTTTATTATGATTTTCTTTGCAAAAAAAAAAAAATAAATAAATCGATTTAGTAACTTACCAAATAGGTGAAAGATTTTGTAACATGGTTTGGGTTCTCATTATCAACTATTTTTACAAGATATAATTTGCTTTTCCTTGAATTATAATCATGATCAAGATCCTCGATCGATAATTCAGGCTCATTGCCAATATATTTTGCAGTTGCACGAGAAGTTGTTAATAAAATTTCTCCTCGTTTTGAATATTCGGTGTGGTGTGGAAATTTATGATATACCGTGTATTTATGCTCACTATTCTTCAGTTATAAGAAAAATATAAAATATAAACATTTGATATATATAATCAGATAAAAATAAAGCTTAAAAAGAATTGATTCATACAAACCTCTTCATGTCCTAACGCCAAGAAAATGTTTAGGAACCCGAAAAATAACGTTAAAACTAAAGCACCGCGAGTGAGATTTGTCATAGTTTAGGATGATATTCGTATCCACTGAATTCAAATGGTTTTTATTGAGTGTTAATTAAATATACTAGCCATAATTGCTTAAATCTTGATGGTCAACCAGTAGTTTACGCCGATCGCGAATTATAAAAAATCCGAGTACAAAAAAAGAACGAATTCATAACCTTTATCTTATAATATGGGTAACAAAAATATAGACACGATAAATGTAGCAAACCTTTTGAATAAGCGTATACAGTTTGAGGATCAATTGGCAACTGTTCGATACGTTGGCGAGGTTCCGCCAACAAAGGGTGAATGGTTAGGAGTGGAATGGGACAATGTGTCAAGAGGGAAACATGACGGTGTTCACGAAGGTGTTCGTTATTTTACTTGTAGGTAAGTAAAATTCTTATAGACGAATTTACCGATAAAATAAAAGATTTCCATATAATGATTAATCTATCAATACGTTTTTATAGTGTTCCTAATAGCGGATCGTTTATTCGTTATTCTTCAAAGATAAATATTGGCCGAAGTTTTGTCGAAGCTGTTATTGAAAAATACATTGGTGAAGAAGTTGTGACACTTCAAGAAAATGAAGAAAAATCATATGACGCACAAAAGGATTTGGATGTACTCCATTGGGCAGGTACAAAATTAGAAGTAGAAGCATTAGGATGGGAAAAAATTCGTCGAAAACAAAGGTTTGTAAATATTATGTTTACACTTCATTTTTGGGAAAGATGTTACTAAAAAAATTACATTTTTATTTGATTTTCAAAGACAATTGGATAGGTTAAATGAAATTGGGCTTTCCTTTGAACAAATATCGCATGCCGGAAAACCAGGAGAAATTGAAGCAACGTGTCCAAGTAATTAGCAAAATGTAATATTCGTTATGGTAATAATCACTTTTTAAAATATGTATGAATATTTTTTTAAAAAAAAAATCTTAGATATTGTTGATTTGAATTTGTCAAAGAATTTGTTATCAGATTGGGAAACGGTTGCTAAAATATGTGAGCAGCTCAAGAAATTAGAAGTTTTGCGTTTAAAGTCAGTTTTAAATTCAGGTTGGCTATAAATCTTTTTTTATAACAAAATATATTTTTAACTTTGTTATTTTACAGTTATAATCGGTTTCAAATTTCGGAATCTTTATCCATTTTTCCGAATGCATTTTTAAATCTAAAAAATCTTTCACTCAATTATACCAGAATTTCTTGGAAGCAGGTTTGATTTAATAATTCTTTATATGTATGTATGTATGTACGTATATGTATAATTCCAATGTTTAGCACATTTTTATTTATATTGTTAAATTAGATAGAACTTCTCGAATCAAACTTTTCCATCCTGGAAAATTTGCAGCTAGGATTTAACAATATCAGACTTTCTGAAGATATTGATGAGAGTAATAAAGAAAACTTTAACAAACTCAATAAAATCAAGGGATTTGCAAAATTGAAAATTATTAATTTCGAGTCAAATATAATATCTAGCTGGGACGAGATTGCAAGATTTTCGGATTTGCCAAAGTAAGTGTAAAAGTCTCAACAACGTCATCTCAAAGTTATAATTATATTAAATTCTACAATTACTATTGATTTGGACAATAAGCTTGGAGATCCTTTTCATTAATAATAATGCAATTGATCAGGTTTATTATCCAAGTGATAATGAAGATGCCTTTCCAAAATTACGAAATTTGAATATTAGTGAGAATAAGATTGGTGACTGGAACAGCGTTAATGAACTTAATAAATTTCCTTCTTTGAAAGAATTGAGAATTAAGAAGAATCCTTTTCTTGAAAGTATGAAAAAATTTATATTTTACATGATAAAATATTTTTTTATTTATTAAATAATTTGTTTTTTTAGATGAAAAATTGGATAAGGCCAATGTGTCGATAATTGGTCGAATTAAAAGGTTAACACTACTGAATGGTAGCATTGTATGTTATGAATTTTTTCGGTAACAAATGACATTAATTTTTTTTTATCGTTTTAATATTAATTTCTTTATTCTTTATTTTTAGATTTCTTCAGGGGACAGAATAGATGCTGAGAGATTTTATCTTAAGTTGTGCATAACAGACATGAAACCAATTGAAGAGATAGAGAAAAATCATCCAAGATTTAAAGAATTATGTGAAATACATGGTACACCAATAGCTGATGATGAGACTAGTCAAAAAGCTTCAAGTAGTGTTCTTAAGGATAGATTGTTAGGTTTGTGTCATAATAATTTTTTGTTTAAATATTTTTTCGTTTATTTATTAATATGATATTTTGTGATATTTATAGCGATAACCATTAGCTATAGAACTGGATTAGAAAAAGATCCGATAAAAAAATTATCAAAGAAATTATTGGGAACGATGGAAATCCGGAATTTAAAAAATTTAATTCAAAAATTATTTGGAATTCCGTCATCTCAGCAAAAATTATATGCTGCAGCTAATTTTCAGGTGAGTACTATAAATTGAATATATTATTACGTTGCTTAGTTTTGTACATTAAATTAAATATATTTTAGGAAGAACAAGGGACGACAATATTAAAATTGGAAATGGATGATGATTTAAAACAATTATCGTATTATGATCTTTTATCGGGTGATGAGATTATTGTCTTAGCAATATCTTAATTAAGAGAAGGTAGAAGAGAAGAGCAATTAATTATATTAATTTGCAAGAGACAAAATTAAACAATAAATTATTTCAAATTTGATTTTTAAAATTAGATTAATTTATAAAAGTTATATCGTAATTCTTACAAAAAAGTAAGAATTTGTATTGTAAATTAAAAAAATGATAATAAACGCCGTCTTTACATTTTCTCTAATAATTTTTTTCCTTCTATGTTGATTACTGTATTATTATTAATAGGATTTGATTGCATTATAGAAGTATTATCACCATTCGCTGTTTTCGGTAATTCATTAGATAATGGAATATATAAAGGTTTGGTGGGTTTTTGCTGTTCTGTTTTTGCAATCGAGTACAAAATTCCAGCGACAAATCCTTTTATTTATTTTAAAAATAAAAAAAAAATTAATATAACGATAAAAATATAAAAAAGAGATCGTAGATTGGTAAAATATTTACCAACAAATATGCCAGAAACATTTCCAATTGTGATTGGATCACCAAAGAAAATCATTCCACTTGCGGCTATAGGTAATTTATTTAATGCTCCAACCATACTATAGGTTGTACTCGACGTCACTCTCACACACCAAGCTGATGTATATGAAATACCAAATGCCGATATCCCTGAGAATAATATGGCCATAATGAGTGTATTACGCATATCTTCGGGTCTTAAATAGGATTTTGCAAATTAAATTAGTAGCCGCTCGGTTTTTTTTCTTTTTTTCTGTGAAAAGATGATTTTACTTACAAGTTCCTTTCAAAATTTTTACTGCTCCAATCTTCCATCATAAGACTCATTATCATTAATAATGGTATAGATAATAAATTATTATAATAAACAGTATCGAAATCTTTAAAATTAGTCGATTTAATATGTTTCCTCATAGTTAAAACGAATGCAGCAGAGGAAATACAATTAAATGCCATCCATAAATATCCTAAATCAAATATGACGCTCGTAGATTTTACAGATGCTTTAGAACTATCTGATATTGCAGCTATTATAGACGAAAAAACCATTAACAAGAAACTTGTCATCGTTAATCTTGACACATTACCACCAAACCATAATACTTCTCCATATGCAATTAAAATGATTGTTAGATTTTTAAATATTGTGTATACAGGGATTGAAAGATATTGTAAACTATTATGTTCATCGTTATTATTGTTGTTATTATTATTATTGTTGTTGTTGTTGTTGTTATTGTTGATGTTATTATCGTTATCATTATTATCATTATGATTATGATTATTATTAAATAAAAAAATAAATTAAAATACTGAAAATTACAAATTTAATAAAATTTATCAAATTATTTTATATTTCAATTACCTTTTGCTTCCTGTATAAATCATAGCGACAAGTAACACGGCAATAGGAAACCCTGTAAATATCATTCAGACATTTTAATACAGAAATTACAAAAATTGATTGAATTATTATAAAGTTGAAACGATATATACATTTTCGTGATAAAGCTAAATCAAATTCTCTAAATGAAACTAAATTCATAAATTTGAAAACTTTTAGTAAAACTATACATACTGTTGACTGAATGAATTAAAAATTTGTCAGTAAATCATTACAAGAAACGTAAATAAAATAATCCAACTGATAATAAGGAATGAGCATAAACCTGTACTCCCAACAGCAAAAAGTTCATATTAAATTCATAACCAGACAAAACATATTTGTTTGTAACTGTCATCAAGATGCTAGCAGCACAATATGTTAAGATTGGGAGAGTTCCCGTTGCAGTCAAAAATGCTAGAAAAGCAGGTGGTTGTGACATTGTAAAAATTCCTTTAATAACACCAAAGATTGTGTGATAGGTTTTTTATATTAATCGAAATTATTTTTAATCGACTTTTAAAAAGGATTTCGAAACTTTTACGGAAAAGAAGGTTGTATGATAATTTACGATTCAAACTGTCCATTATAGACTGATGAGGAAAAAATTTTTTTTTTTTATAGAATCATCTCTTATTTTAGTGATAAATCCGAACTACAATAAATCACTGGTAAAAATTTCTTATTTTGCTTAGCTATGACAGCCAAGCCCTCCATATAAATGTTACGTAATGTTAATAAATAATTTATAATTTAGGTTAAGATCTACCTATACAATGGTAATCCAATACAAATTAGTCATAGTGATAGTCTCTTTCATGATGATTATGATGATCAGTATCAATTTTCACGAGGATTAAAGACATTTTGGTGATTTCCTTGCATCCATTATGACAAAATATATCCGAATCGGAACAGATAAATATCAAGTTTAACAACTAGTGGAATTTATCATTTACCTGCGTTACCTTAGCAAAATTTAATAAATCAATAGTGTGATATTCTTTTTACATAAATAAGAGTTTCGAATTTCTTGAGATTAAAATATTATAAATCTAATAAATTTAAATTAATATAAAATAATAATGTGATTTCTTTTTAATGTCAATTATAGATAATATTACATTAAAAATTTTAATTGTTAATTTATAAAAATCGGGTGATAAAAGGTTTAGTACTTGCTGCATTGTTAATTAATTAATATCACCAATGTGATGATTTTCAGTTACCTTTTTTTTCCAAAAATTGAATTTTAATAATTAATTTAGCTTGAATTAGTTTTATTGCGTCAAACGTGTCAAATGAATCAAATGAGTCAATTGGTTAAGTCCATGCAGCAAATGATTGCAACTAAGTTTAATGACATTAGGTTTTATTAGATTTATGGTTAGAGTTTAGGTTAGGACTTTATATTAGATAAACGTTATACTAAATATGAATTTTGTTTAATAAACATCTCTATTTAACAAAACACCTATATTTTCACTTTTTAACACTTTATATACCTAAACATATTTATAATTTTAAACTATATTCTCTAAAAATTTTCTTCTCTTTTAATTTCTTATTTTTTTTTAAAAATTCTTTTAATTTATTTAAGTTCTTTTTTACTTTTTCTAACCTTTTTATGTTTAGTATAATATATATATTATATATATATGTACTTTGCAGTAAAGAGAGAAGAAACTACCAAAAAAGTTTTTTTTTATTTTATAAACTAATTATTATTTTTTTAGTAAAATAAATCCAGATTTAACATTAATTCTAAAGATTTTTTTTGGTATTTTTCTCTCTTTCTACTGTAAAGTGCTTATATATATATTTTTAAAATATAATAAATTGTGAAATTTTTATTAAAATTATTAATTTAGAACAAAGTATAGGATTATAAACAATGAAAATTATCTCAGTATCCACTTGCTTAGTATTTGAATTATATAAAATCCTAGATAAAGCAAATATCAATATAAATTTTTTTTAGTTAAAATCATTTTAGACTTAACAATAGTTCTTATTTTCCTAGTATACTATATATAAAAGAAATAAAATATAAGTTATAAAAATATATAAATGAAAACTAATTTAATTAATATATAAATAAAACTATATATTAATATTTAATTAAAGTTGATAAATAAAATTTAAATTTCTAAATGTTAAAAATTAAATTTACTTTATAAATATATTGATTTTTATAAAAAATTTATTAATTTTTATATATTGATCTAAATTTTTTAGAATTTTGAAAAAATAAGCATATATCTTTACCATTATGTTGTAGATATTATCACCTAATGAAATTTAAATTTTTTGGTTTGAAAAAAACTATTAGAAGTCAAACTATTTATTAACTTTCTAATAACAACTTTACCAATTGCTAATGATACTAATTCAAAAAAAGATAGCTAATAATTATTAAAATTTATGATAATTAAGAATAAATAGAAATTATTACATGATTTATATAAAGTTTTGAAAGAATTTGCTGAAGTTACAACTATCTAAGTGCAAGTAAATATATAATTTATAGTATTATAAGTCCATTATTAAAAGAAATTAAAAAAAAACATATAAAGCTGAAAAGTATAAGTTTTAAAATATAAATATAGAAGAAATTCTTGATATTTTTATAAAAGAAGAAAAAGGAGAAATTGCTGAATATAAAAATGGATCAAAAAGATTAAACTTAAATATACTATTTAATACTACTAAAATATTAGAAAAAGTAAAGCTTTATTTGTATAATACAATAGAATTATATTAGAATAAAAAAAAAAGATGCTTATTTCAGTATTATTTGATCTTAAAATTAAGCCTTTTGGATTTGTTAATAAATAAAAAGGTTTGTAATAAACCAAAGGATCTATTAAAAAATAAATATGATCAACTTAAGATTAATTTCTTATTTATCTCTTAAACTATAGATCAGATAAATTTGCTTATAAACATAAAAAAAACGTATTTATTTTTTAATAAAAAATAAAATATTAATGTTAATAATATAATTATATATAAAAAATATAGTTTAATAAGTTTTTTAAAAAGTTTTAAATAATTCAATTTTGAAATTAAATTTTGAAAAATTTATTATAATAATCTTCTAAAAATTCTTAAAATTTATAAATTTACAAACTAATTAAATTATTTTACTATTAATAAAAGTTATAAAATTTTTTAATAAATTATAAAAACTATAAATAATTAAAAGTATTCTTTATGATAAATTTTATAATATTATATTATGATTAATATTACTAAAATTAAATGTTAATAAGATGGTCAAAAATTAATAATAAAATTTTTTAATTTATAATTTTTTTAAAAATTACAAATTTTTAGCTTATAAATAATCTTAAATTATTTATTATATGATTAAAAAATAAAATTTATTATAATATTATATATATTTATAAAATTAATATAAAAAAAAAATTTTTCATAAAAGTAAATCAGAAGGGAATTTATAGTAAATAAGCAGGCAAATTTGCCTTCGAACCTCTACAGTTTAAGGGATAATAATTCTACAGAGGTGATCACGGAAAAAAAAATATCGGTATTTTCAATACAGTACATAAAACATTTTTTTTTTTTTTTTTTTTTTAATTCGTTGATTAACTGGTTGTTACAAGAAAAAGTACTAAGAGATCACGACAATAGAGATTCAATAATTTTTTATCTTTATTTTTTCCAGACTTTCATTTTGAAAGATCGTTTTCACAATTTAGAAAGACAACTTAACTTATCACGAAATTGAAACGTGAATCATTATAAATATGGAAGAACCTAAAAAAAGATTTCCAAAACCTTTTTTTTTTTTTTTTTTTTGAACTTTTCGCTTATTACGTGTATTAATCAGGCTTATCAGGATAATTCGAAAAGATTTAAACTTAAAATGTTACAATAGCTTTATTCTTCAAGTAAATTTGATACAATAAAAAAAAAAAGATTTGACATCAATAAATAAATAAAAAGGGGAGGGAAGATAATTTAATACCAACAATCTACGGCCAAATGACGAGTCCTTTCCTAAAGAATACATTTGGATCATACTTTCTTTTTAATTCTTTCAATTTCTCCAAATTCGCACCAAAATATCTTATCAACTTTTCTTCCTTATTGTCTGTATTGTCCATGGTACTCTCAAAATTAGAATAAAGGGATTGCTCGCCGTCCCCATCCCTACAAATGATCTCTTGTATATTCTTCGACCAACCGTTCATGATTTCATCATCTTGTTCATTTACCCATCTTTGAGTTATCACCGCATTAAATAATGGTTTACGATGAGCAAATGCTGTGGAATCAGCGGCCACAGAAGCAAATTTCTTGGAATCATAAAATTCAAATGATATAAATGTTTGATTCCTCGTCGGATCATCAGTAAATTTAATGTAAGAATCCAAAACCTCACGAACGTTTGCGATGCTTAGATGAGTAAAATGCGCGCCACGGATTGCTTTACGATCTCCATGGGTCATGAATGGATTTGCCAAAGTATTCACCTTAGGATATGGCATACTCATCACCTGTTCCATAATGGGTTCTCCACATTTATAAAACATTGAAAACCTTTCTTTAAATACTTTTTCGGATGGATCATTGGAAAATAACATCAGACCGATAATCGGCTAGAAATGAAGAAACGTACGTCAGTATCTAACAAAGTGAGTTGTATATTTATTAAACTAGAAACATGTTAAATACCGAAAATTCTGGAGGAAGTCTACCAAATACTAAGTTCAAAGTTTCATCCGGTCCACGATTTTTATACCATAAATTGGTAGCTTCAACGAGGTTATCCACTTTATCGATAGGAAACATTAAAAGACCGGCGAAAACTTCTTTTTGTTCGTGCGCTTTAAAAATAAATTCATAGATAACTCCGAAATTGGTTCCGGCTCCTTTAATTGCCCAAAATAAATCTTCATTCGTGTTGGATGATAATTCTCTCACTTTTCCATCCGCGGTAATTATCGTGGCTCCCATCAAATTATCAATTACCAATCCGTGTTGACCTGTCAAGTAACCAAAACCACCGCCCAAAGTTAACCCACCAATTCCGGTATGATCAACCGCGCCACCCACAATGGCCAACCCATGTTTCCAAGCTTCTTGATCAACTTCACCAAATAATGCTCCTCCTTGAGCATAAACCAATTTCTTTTCAACATCAACTCTAACTTTGTTCAATTTTCTCATATCTAGTAAAACTCCTCCTTCGGAACTTGAACTTCCGGAAGTTGAATGTCCGCCTCCACATACGGCGAAATCCAAATTATTTTGATTAGCAAAATTCACGGTTTTGGTGATGTCATCAACACAAGTGGGTTGAACCACGATTCCAGCTTTTTTTTCTGCATTTAGGGCCCATCTTTTCAGACTCGCTTCATAACCCTCATCACTTTCCATCAATACTTTGGTGATTTCACCATTAAATGATTCCTTGAACTTTTGAACTTTCGTTGGATCAACATCTTTTACTAATTTCTTTGGTGTAAAGTCTTGATGGCTCATGATTGACGTTAATAATTATTATTATGTCGAAGATTTAAAAGAATTGGACTTTTGCTCGCATTTTTATAATTTATTTGTGTGAGAAAAAAAATTTTTTTAATTTTTAATTCTTCCTAATATTTTATTTTAATTGTTGATGATTCCTATTTTTAAACGTAATTTTGGTAATGGTAATTATTTAAGCGCTGTTACAATTTCCATAAATATTTTAAATGATGTTCGCACGATCATATTTTAATTGCGCCCCTATTATCTGAATCAATACGGATTTAGATAGTGAACCAAAAAAACTTTTTTTGTTACATATATAGTAATTTGGCGAAACATGAAAAAAAAATTTTTTTATTTTAATCGCGAATGGAAATAATCCGATGGCATATGTAATATAAATTGCCTATTCTGAAATGCAACCGTGGTTTATTCTTCCGCGATAATCATAAATGAAATGGGCGTGTAGAATGAATGATTGTTTAGAAAAATCGGGTTCCTCGATTTTTTTAAAAATAATATTTTGGTAAAATATTTATTATCGAGAAAAATTCACCGATTTATTTTGTAGTAATTAAAAATCACAAAAGCGAATCCGCGGCGAACTTAAATTCTTATTGTCGTCTTTTAAATCCAGTCGTGGGGTCTTTTTATTATTTACAAACCTTCAAGGCTTGTTCATAAATCAAGTCTTTTCTTCAATATTAAACTTTCCTTTAAAAATTTTATTAAAAAGGATCATATGGGACCTTTTCAATAGAAAGGGGGGCTAAATTTGAACATATGGATGGAGTCTAGTCAATCTAAATTTTGATAAAAATTTTTTTATTGGTCCACTTGTTTATCGGAAAAAAAACTTTCGGCTTCAGCGAACTTATCAACATAAAGCAATAATTATTTTTTTTTTACCAAATCGAGTTACGAAATAGCAATAAAGATATATATTTTTATTTTTAAATTAATTTTTACCTTAAATTTTCAAATTTTCTTTTTTTTTGTTTTTTTAAACGATATCTAAACAAATGATTGGACATTAAAGAGTTCATTAAAACAAAAAAAAATTATTTTGAAGTCTCCTTCGCAAAGCGTCCAAATATAAAAATTTGCTGAACCGTTTTTGAATATTCTAATATTTTATAGGATTTCTCTTACTTCAAGTACAGATTAACTCTATATAACATACTTTTACTAATTGAATAAGTATACTTCCTTAATGCTATAAAAATCATTTTATTTTTTTGATATAAAATTTTCAATAAGATCAGGACTTTGTAAAGATTTTAATTAGTCATCCATTTAAATAATTTTCTTTGAATAATTCAATATGTTAACTAATACTAATAGACTTAATTTAAAGTATTATGAATTATTTACTTTTTGTTTTAAGTAATTTTCTTTTTTTTTTTCATCTATATCAATTTTTAGAATCATGATTAAAAAGTTCCTCCAAATCATTTTTTCTTTTTTTTTTGTAAATACTTTCTGCAATATTTTATATATAATTTATAGCTATTCTACTAAATTTTAAAATATTAAGATTTATATAGCAATAAAGTTTTTTGTTAATAAGATTTTAGGTTTACCAAATATGTGATACTATAAATTTCTAATTAAAAAAATCACCTATATTAACCAATAATCACAATTCAACAAATTCTTGTATCTTATGTATAATTTAAGAATTTTTTAAAAGATTTAAAAAAATCAAATAAATTTTTAAAAAAAGAAATATTTAAAAATAAAAATTAAAATATTTGTTATAAAATAAATATAATTTATATAAATGTATACAAATAATTATAATATCATAATTTAATTTAACAAATAAATTTATAAAAAAATTATTTGAACACTTTTATATTTTAATATGAAATCTTTATTATTTAATATATATAGCTTCAATTAAAATCATAAAAGGGTAAATAAAACTATGACAATTACTCAAGAATTTATAAGTGAAAATTCACAGTAATTTTACAGATTATTTTCAATAAATAAATACAAAAATAAATATAAAACTATTCAAAAATTATACTTTAAAAACTTTAAGTCAATAAAATAAATTAATATAATATCTATCATACAATAAGTTTATTAATAATTAAAAGATTACAAATAAATACAAAAAGTTTACAAATAAATATAAATAACTTTAAATAATTATAAATAGTTAAATAATTATATTTCTTTATTAATATAATAATAAGTTTATTACTTAAAAGATTAACATCTTATCATTTACTTTTACTAAAAAAATAATAAAACTTAATAAAAATATAAAGATATTTATATATATTAATAAAATAAAAAACTAAATATATCTAATAGAAATAAAGTTGACAGATTTATAGACAATAAAATTGACATAAAAATTAATTGATTATTATACTAAAAATTAAATTATTATTTATAATATATATAATTATTTTAGAAAATAAAATTGATTAATTGATCTATATATTAATATTAAATTATTAATAAATTTTTTCAAATTAAAATTTTATCTGTTATAACATTTAATAATTTAATTTAAAAAATATTAAATAGTAATAACTTACTTTATAAAGATAAAATTTAGCTTATTAATTCATCATAATATAATACATCAAATAATGATTATATTATATTTTAGTATTAATAATAAAAAGTTATTAAAAATAACATTTAAAAATATAAATAATTTAATATATCTTATTATAATAAATCTAACAAGTTGACTTAACTTTATATAATTACTAGATAATTTATTATTACAATCTAAGTTAAACTATTTAATACTTTTTATAGGTTATGAATATTCTACTTATATATAAAATACTATTAGCTTTAATAAAAAATATTATATTATACTAATCAGGTTTTTGAGATCAAATACCAGATTTTTAATATATTCTAAATGATCTGATTTATAAATTATATTTATATCAAATATTAGAAAATTTTTAAAAATTAAACTAAGACATTATTAGAGTAAGTATTACTATCCTTACTTATATATAAAATATTATTAGCTTTATTATTAAAAATATTATATTATACTAATTAGATTTCTGAGATCAGATACTAAATTTGCAAATACATTACTAGATAATTAAATCAGTAAAATTAGAGATTAAAAAATTAAACTAAGATATCCTTTAAATAAATTTTATTAGTTTCTTGAGATTTTTGAAATTTTTTATCAAACTTTTAGAAATATTACCAAAAATTTAAATAAATTTCTAGGAATTCAACAACATTTATTAATCAAAAACTAGAAAAATAAATCAAAATTTATAATTTGCAAGATTTTTAAAATAAACTATCAAAAAATCAAATCAAAGTTTTAAATTATTAGTATTTTAGAATTTTTTATTAAATAAAATATTATAATAAAATTAAATATTTTAATAAAAAAATGTTTAATAAAAAATTTATTAAAAAATAAATTAAATAAAAATTCAATTATTATAAAAAATAAATTAAAAAATTAATTATTAAAAAAAATAAAAAATAAATTAATTATATTAATTATAAAATCAATTAAAAAAAATTTAAATAAAAAAAAATCAATTATTAAAAAAATCAACAAAAAATTAAATTATTAAAAATAAATAAATTAAATATAATTATTAAAAAAAAAAATTAAAAAAATATCAAAAAGATTAAAAAGAAAATAATTTTAAAAAATAATAAATAAATAAAAATATTAAAATAAAAATAAAAAATAAAAATTTAAATTATAAAAATTAGACTGAAAATAAAATTTAATAAAAATAATATTAAAATAAAATAATTTTTAAATAATTAATAATATCAAGTTAAAATTAAAAAAAATAAAATTAATAAAAATAAATTAATTATTTGAATTAAGAATATAATTTAAAAAAATAAATAATTAAATAAATCTGAAAAATAAAAAAAAAATTAAATTAAAAAATTTAAATCATATAAATATAATTAAATTAAAAAAATAATTAAAATAATTAAACATTAGAAATTATAATTGTAAATAAAAAATAAAAATCAATATTAAAAAAAATTAACTGAAAAAGTCAAATCATTTATTGAAAAATATTAATTAAAAATCAATTAAAAATTAAATTAAAATAAATTATTAAAAAGATAAAAAAAAATTAAAAAAATATATATGTAAAATCATAAAATTTAATCAACTATAACATTAATTATAATTTAAATTATGTCTCAAATATAACTTGAAAATAGCTTTAACTTAATTAAATTATAATCTAATTTTAATATAACTCAACCTAAACCTAATCTTAATTTAATTATATTTCAAATATATTTTAAACTTAATTCAACTCTTATTTGAACTAAATTAACTATATAAAAAATTTACTATTAAAATTAAATTACAAATATAATAAATCTTATAATTTATAATATGATTTTAATAATAAATCTTTTTAAATTATCACTTAAAATCTAACTTGAATATAACTTAAACTTTATTTGAATAATTTTAACTATATCTAAATTATAAAATAATAAATAGGTAAATATAAATAATTTTTAGTTTATCTATTTTATTTTATAAAATTAACTTAAATATAATAAATATAATTTTTTTAATTTACAGTAATTAAAAAATTGATATTATTAAAATTATTTATTTTCATATTTAAAAAGAAATTTATTCTATTATTGTAAAATATTTTACTATACATTTGCATTATAATTAATTAATAATGTAACTATTAGTTATTATAAATATAGTTATATTTAATATACTATAATATTTTTAATTTTAAGTTTAATTTAAATGCATTATAAATAAATATTTAAATTAAAAGTAATAATTATCTTTTATAATAATATAAAGACAATATTTAAAAAACTTATTTATAAGAATCCTTAAAAAATTTAATTTGATAATTAGTTTTAATAACATTCTAATATAATAAAACTTTGATATTACTATTATCAATAAAATCATTAAAATATTAATTTAATATAATAAACTAACTAAATTAAATTAACTAGTTATACATAATGAGTTCAAATCAGAT